GCAAGCCTGGTGTGAATCACACGGAGGCGATTTTAGAATTAATTGACAGGATCCGTATCCATTAATAGGTTTGTAATATGAACTTTTTATGTTGATCTCCTACATAATTGTAAGTTAAACTCTGCCTTATATGTCGTTAAATTATCAAGTTTACGTAACAAGTGCAAGCGAAATCTTAATTGACTGCTATGTTGGAAACTTCGTCTACCTTTCCGATATAGGTCAGACGTCTAAATATGGGTGTCATGACCATCAGTAGTAATACTATATTTGGCCGTGAAGGCCATATAAGGAAACGGATAACATCACGCGTGATCTAACATGGCCGTCGTTTCTGTTTTTAGAGTTTTTAGTAAGGATTTGTTATTTCAACGATGAACGAATATGCAATATTTTGATAACATTATAATCATATTAAGCGTGAATCATATATATTATTACAGTTAGCACTTTTGATTTTCCTCAGTTAGTTGGAACAGGACTGCTTCATAGCTCCGACCACGTAATATATAAATGTAAACAGGGACGTAAATGCAAGAGTCACCAATTTTAGCCAATCACAGGACAATATTTCCGTGTAAAGGGTTAATCCAGCGACAGTTCCAAGAGTAAATACGAAGTATTAGATGGATACTTAGTTCTAACTAAGAATAAGATTATATCCAATGACTTGTGAGTGAACTGGAGTCCGTGGTAATGGATTTTATTTGCAGTTTGTTTAGTATTACTGGTAGGTGACGTTATGTCTCTTTTATGAATATCTGAGCTCATTAACTGAAGTATTTTTACCGGAAGTTGCGTGTAGCATGCATGACCTACAGTCAAGTGGCAGTTCCCGATTGAGATAAACAGGGTTCATTTTCAATAAGAATACGACATTGTGATAAGGTCATATGTTCTACAAAGGAAAGGAATGATATTTACAAGACATTCAAGTGCATTTGAGTCCAAAGTTACGCATAATAAAGACAGTAGGTCCGGTATATGATTCAATTTAGCACCAGTGATTATCGCTAGAGGCCGTCTGTGTGAAATCGACATTTATGAATATCTGAGCTCATTAACTGAAGTAATACCAATAGCTGGCGGCTAACGCCTTAGCTAAAAATGATCGAGTTATGATTAATTTATTATTACGATCGGCGGCGTGGCATACGTGTGTGAATAGAACTCGACATATGAAGAAGCGTCTTCAGAACATATCTCAAATATTAACCTATAATGTAAGCGACATCAGAAGATATGTTATTCATATAACTATGATACACTTTTATACTAAACTTCAGGTAGAAATTTGAATAAATAACCGATTAATGATGTTTTTGATTATTACGATCGACGGCTTGGCACACGTGTATGAATAGAACTCGACAGATTGTGAAGCGTCTTCAAACTATATCTCTTAAAATATTTTTTTCTGTTTTGAAGTATAAGCAAGGCCTGTTCATCATGAAAACATTGAAAATTACAACTTATAATTTGTGATAAATGAACCTGTACGAGAGTAATGAAATGTCCTGAAATTTTAATACCTTCACCTAATTATTTACAGGAAATAGATATATATATAGACTGACACTGATTAACTCACTATTGTTTTCTCAAATACAGCAGTGTGAATTATTATGTGTGCCAGTTATTTCATAAGAAGTTTAAAACGATTGTATTTTTCAGCTGCCCTGCAGGTAGGGCGTAAGAATTGTACCTGCTGCCCCCAATTGCATGATCGTAAGAGTTGACTAAATTTGGGACCTTATCTCTTCTCTCCTTTCTAAATAACTTTCTTTTTCCTAATGTCTCCCTTGACAATGCCTCACTTTTGGCCATTTGTTGAGCGTTCGCCCCTGTGAGGAAGGCTTTGGGTTCTGTCCCCTGGCCGAGACATACCAAAGTCTTTAAAAATGGCAGTTTCTACTCCTGCTTAACGCTCAGCNCAAACAAACAAACAAACAAACAAACAAGTATTTTTCAGCTGTACCTTTACAACAATAACAATTAAGTCCTAGTGTAGTCTTCATTTAAACTTATAGGTACTTAGGGATTTTTTTTTAAACACTTACATTAAATCGATCAGTCACACGAACATATAACGGACCCCGAGTAGAACCAAGTCCACGTCCGTAGGGTCTGGTAACATGCTCGTTTCAAGAGTGTGGCTGAGAGTTCTACAATATAATCCGGTCTAACTGTGTTCACCTATGCAAAGGTCTACCCTACGTACACATATGTGACACGGCGTATAGCTTCGTAAAATCGTAAAATTAAATTTACGATAGCTCAATCATTTTTTAACAAATCTACCTGAAGTTTGGTATAAAGGTGTATCATAGTTATATGAATAACATATCTTCTGATGTCGCTTACTTAATCGATTAATTTTAGAGATATAGTTTGAAGACGCTTCACAATCTGTCGAATTCTATACACACACGTGTGCCAAGCCGTTGATCGTAATAATCAAAAACATCCTTAATCAGTCCAGGGATGTGTAGTCACACCCCTGCTCAGTCATTTATTCAAATTTCTACCTGAAGTTTAGTATAAAGGTGTATCATAGTTATATGAATAACATATTTTCTGATGTCGCTTACATTATAGTTTAATATTCGAGATATTGTCTGAAGACGCTTTACGATCTGTAGTGTTCTATTCACACACGTATGCCACGCCGCCGATCGTAATAATAAATTAATCATTACCCTTACCCTAACATATCTTCTGATGTCGCTTACTTTAGCGGGTAATTGTAACGATATTATCAGGCGACGCTTTCTACACTTTTCAAGTTAATACACACATGTGCCACGCCGCGATCGTAAAAATTAAATTCATCATAACTTGGTCATGCAATTTTTCAAATATCAAATTGAAATTTGGTACAGAGGTGCATTATAGTCATATTAACAGCATATCTTCTGATATCGCTTACTTTATTCAGTATTTTTGAAGATTTTGTCTGGCGACGCTTGTTGTCACTTAAAGGCGCTTGTTGTCGGTTGAAGACGCTTTTTAGTCAGACCCTTAATCAGTATACTTGTTTTAAAGAAGTGGAGCAACATGGAAAAGGTCAGTTTGACAATGTAAACGTCAAATATTATATAAATAACGTTTGATTTATTGGGGTTTTCTTCTGTTGCTTACCTGTTCCATTGCTAATATTGTTTCGGGTTTTATTGTAACTTTCCAAAACATGCAATACGTCCTTTCTTCCGGAACAGCATCCAGAGAGCAGTTTTTGTAAGAAGATTACATTGTTACCACCAAGAAAATCACGGCTTTCTAGATTGTCACACAATTCGAAAAAACTTTCTATCTTTGACAAGTCACGTTTTCCTATTATATCTTTACACATGTATTTCATGGCCACAAGATCATCTTTTTTCAACAAGTTTGACAAACGCACCAACATTCCTCTAAAATCAGGGTTCTCTCCACTACTTTGGGCAGACATTATCGAGAAATCTTAGAGTCGGTTGTGATAATAAACGTCTGATCTACTTGAGATTGTTGGTTCTGTTCTGTTACACAAACGTGCCTAGTTTAACTCCTCAAATAGGCCAAAGATCCGTCTTCGGGTACAGTGAAAATTCCAAACAGGGAAATGTAAATATGGAAACTACCAGCTCTCCAAAACGCTTGACAAAGTTGCTCTGCTTTCATTAGGGGAAAGCGTTTAGCTGATTCACTACAAATAGCTCAGCAAGACGCTTTGCTTTATTGCACTTAACACTAAAGCATTTGACGAACACAGATTACAAGATGAAAGTAGGAGGCGTGTGCGGAATATTTATGTTTCTATTTGTCTCTATTTCTAGAGCTGGAAAATACTCTGAAGATGTCAATAAACCGTTGACGGAATCTAAGAAACCATTTAGAATGAACAAAGTGAATATGATTTGGAATAAAGCCCAGAAAGTAAGTTATGTAAATTATAGGTGATCACAGGGACTCGGTTTCGGGGTAATTTCTGTTAATAATAAACCTTTACACACCAGTATGGCAGTAAATAACAGTACTAGCACTTTTATCCGGTGTTTATACACATTCTCAAACCTTATAAAAATTGAGGGTATCGAGGTATAAGAAGAAGTACTCGGTTTTGGGATTTGGTTTGTTAAAAAACACTATAAAAAGTGTTGCTGTTATTTACTGGTGTGTATTAACCAATATCAAATAGTATCTAGTGAATGAGTATTGACAAAAATGTGTATAGAGAGTGTAAGTAGCAAATTGTATGAATGTATGATTGAGTGTATGAATTGAATACAATAATATACATAGCTTATTAATTACATGTATATATATAATATCATACTAACACCCCTATCATGGAGAAGATTGATATAGGCCTAGCCTGTTATATCTTATCCATTTATACATACCTGCCAACCCCGGACATACTAAAAGAGGGTGATGACCCTCTTTTGGAAATAAAAAAGAGGGTCATAGTGCGCAACAGCTTTTTTCGCAACAAATATAAGAAAAAGAGATATTAAATTAGAACTTAAATATTTTAATGATGTTAAGTTACATTCTACATTCATTGAACTGTTCTTCCAGCAGATCTAGCTAATCCTCATCCACAATACCAAATTCAAAGCTGAAAAATAAAAAGGTTTGTCAACAACACAACTTATGAAATTAATTCATAATAATATATATGATACTGTGTTTCCACAGGCATTTTTTATGTCAATTAAAATGGTCCTGACAATAACATGTCACATTCTGCTCATATAAAATACCATTTTGTTTCTGTCAATGAAAATGGTCCTGACAATAAGAAGTTGTACCCTACTCATATAAAATATTAGTTTTATACGAGTAGGGTTTGAACTCTTATTGTTAGGATAATTTTGATTGACAAAAACAAATCATCAAATGCCTGTGCATGTTTTTGAATGTCTTAGTAACGTCGTTTTAAGCACCAGATCAAACTGAAATATGCGATTTACAAAGACTAAAGTGCAGAATGCAGCGTTTGGTCCACGACCGCAGGACTTTATACACTAAAACTCATTTTCCTACGATATGTGAACAATTATCTTTTCTTTTAGCATTTCGTGTATACTATAGTCAGAGACGTATATGCAAGTCCCGAGCCGCAAGTCCCGATAATGACTTCTTTCTTCAAGAAGACATAATGTTACCTTCAAAATACGTACGATCTATTCTACGTAAATACAATTGTAAAAACAACTATTATTTGTTAAAACACCTGACTAATGAGTTGCCAGCAAGTTCAGTAACAACGGTATTTGTATAAACATTTGGAAAAAACGTTCTAGTACGTATATAAACAACTCGCAACTTACCTGTTGGTGAGGAACGAAAACAAAAAATAGATGGTCTTTCTTATGAAGAAGGATGGAAAAGTCTAGAGAATTCCGAGTGACTTCGGTAACTTCTAATATACGAAAAGATTCCGGGAGAAAACAGGTGAAATTGACGAAATCTGGGTCAAAATCGTAACCCTGCGGGTGAAGTTATAAAAGCGGGTGAAAGGCTAAAATCCCAGGTGTAACCCGACGAAATCGGGTCACTTGGCAGGTATGTTTATATGTATAATAAAATTTGTTAAAACAATATTATCCGGAAACAGAGTACTTTTTTTTTAAACCTAGTTACCCTCAATACACAGTTATCTACTTATGTGTGTAGGTTTATTATTAAACAAAATTATCCCGAAACAAGCCCCTGTGGGTGTTATCAGTTTTGTGCACTGGGCTGTTCTCGTTTATTGCGGTCCAACGGCTAATTTGGTTGGACCAGATCTAGAGTTGTTCTTTTATGAAATACAATGTATGGTTGGACCTAGAAATATGATGCTGCTTTCAGGCGAGTCTTAATGGCCAAGCCTTACAAGGCCTGCATAAACATTTGCAGGTCCGCTAGTATTAAGACACGAAATGTTACATTTAAAAACAGACAAACCGTTAGAACAGGCCTACATTTTGTAGGAATATACATGAGAAGCAGCCATGATTTCGTACTCATACCGGTAGAAAACTGTTGAAATGGCGGAAGACTGTCATAGACATGTGTATAATCTACTAATGGAAACAAAAAACTAGCAATATAAACTGTACTTAAGAAAAGAACAACATTTTCCAACAAATTTCATCTGTCGGAAGTAGCCGTCATATGTTTCTGTGTCTCTATTTTTATTCAGTGTTCACAGAAAGATTCAAACCCTGGTCTGGCATATTTTCCCACTCCTGTTACAAAATTTGTAAGCTTGCCATTTGGGCCAAAGGGCCAGGTGAGCTTATGCCATACTGCGGCGTCCATGGTCCGTCTGTCAACTTTTTCTTTTAAATGACTTCTTCTGAAGAACTGGAGGACCTAGGGTCATGATATTTGGCCAGTAGGTACCTGGGATGGAGTGCTATAAACTTTCCTCATTAAAATGACCTTGACCTACTTTTAAGGTCACAGGGGTCAAATATGTTCAAAAATTCAAACAACAATATCTTAAGTACCATTTGGACTAAAGTCATGATACTTGGTAATGTTATGTAGACCAGCAGTGCAAATCTTTTTCTTTATCACAGTAATGAGGTCAAAGGTCAATTTTAAGTGGTAGTAGGGGGTCAAACGTTAACATGGGTTAAAAGCATTAACAATCTTCTTCACAAGTTCCATAAGGCCCAGGGTCATGATATTTGGCCAGTAGGTACCTGTGATGGAGTGCTATAAAATTTTCTCATTAAAATTACCTTCACCTTCTTTTAAGGATACAGGGGTCAAATATGTTAAAAACTTCAAACAACAATATCCTAAGAACCATTTGGACTAGAGTCATGATACTTGGTAATGTTATGCAGACCAGCAGTGCAAATATTTTTCTTTATCACAGTAATGAGGTCAAAGGTCAATTTTAAGTGGTAGTAGGGGGTCAAATGTTAACATGGGTTAAAAGCATTAGCAATCTTCTTCACAAGTTCCATAAGGCCCAGGGTCATGATATTTGGCCAGTAGGTACCTGTGATGGAGTGCTATAAAATTTTCTCATTAAAATTACCTTCACCTTCTTTTAAGGTCACAGGGGTCAAATATGTTAAAAACTTCAAACAACAATATCCTAAGAACCATTTGGACTAGAGCCATGATACTTGAGTATGTTATGTAGACCAGCAGTGCAAATCTTTTTCTTTATTACAGTAATGAGGTCAAAGGTCAACTTTAAGTTCTAGTTGGGAGTTAAATGTCAACATGGGTTAAAACTTTAGCATCTTCTTAAGTTCCATAAGGCCCAGGGTCATGATATTTGTCCAAAGGTTACTATATATTAAGTGCTAGCCGGAGTCAAAGGTCAACCTGGATTAAAAGCTTAAAAATCACAATTTCACACTCAAATTTCAAACAACAATATCTTAAGAAGCGTTTAAGAGATGTTAAAATGTCTTGTGTTCTAGTTACCAAATTTGGTCTGAAGTTATCTATATATCAGTTTCATGTAACAAAAGAAACATGTGAGCGATACAGGCCCTCTGGGCTTCTTGTTTGCTTCTAGCATTGGGTATGCATTTGGCAAGGAGATACCCAAGCCTTGTAAGAATAAACCCCTATAGTCCATAATTACACCCTACATGGACATATATTTTGAACATGTAGACCAGGCTAAGTATCTTGGTGTCGCTCTACAATTTGACCTTTTACAGGATTCCCATATAAATAACATCTGCTCAAAGGCTTATTCGAACATGCTTGGCTTTTTGAAGGTAAATCTCATAATTGGCTCAACATCAGCAAATTTAACGGGCAGGCATATTATAAATCCCTAGTGTGACCATCACATACGATAGATACCTGTATAGTATGGGACCCTCTCACGCAAACAAATATTGACAACTTCACAAGATTGACAGGGCAGGCTGTGTGCTACATGCATGTACTTAATAAGCAGAGGTACAATCAACAAACCTCAAGTGTGTCCAAAATGTTTGACCACTTAAAACTGTGGCCCAAGATGGCATATAGATACATACATAGATATATACATAGATACATATAAAGATACATACACAGATATATACATAGATACATACATAGATATATACATAGATACATACATTGATTCATTCTGACAAAATTAGGATTTTACGATTCTTTGACAGTCATTTCTGAATTAAAAAAACCCCAACAAAATAAAAGTATATTTCAAAAGTTGCAACATTTAGAATTCAATTTTTTCTTTATAACTGTACTTCTGCGCTTGGTTTTGCTAATGTTCATCTAATTTATATTCAAATTGTTTAACTGTATTTGAATTCACAACATTTGAAGGAAGGATAGATGAAGAGATGCTCATCTAACAGTGTTCTACAATATTGTTTAATCGAAAAGTTGCTGTCATATGAATCTCAGGTGTGTGAATCCACCTATAAAATATACTTGAATGCATTTTCCTAACTCTGGGATGACATTGTATCAAAGTGTGAGTTAAACAGTGCTATGATTTGTCAAATTTGCAGGAAATTAAACCTGTGTTATGGTCATTTTCTACAGCGACTATCCAGGCCCCGCCTGGCAGACCTGTATGCTGACCTCACTATCCAGGATAAAGTGGAGAGGGAACTGAAGAAACTCAAGGCTGAAGACCGTGATAAAGATGGAATGAAGGAAGCAGAGGTCCGACAGAGACTGTTGGGTCAGTAGATCTGTTTATAGAGCCCCTGGCCTGAGGTCCAACAGAGACTGTTGGGTCAGTAGATCTGTTATATAGAGCCCCTGGCCTGAGGTCCTACAGAGACTGTTAGGTCAGTAGATCTGTTTTATAGAGCCCCTGGCCTGAGGTTCCAGGGAGACTGTTGGGTCAGTAGATCTGTTATATAGAGCCCTTGGCCTGAGGTTCAAGGGAGACTGTTGGGTCAGTAGATCTGCTTTATAGAGCCCCTGGTCTGTGGTTCGAGTGAGACTGTTGGGTCTGTAGATCTGTTATATAGAGCCCCTGGCCTGAGGTCCGACAGAGACTGTTAAGTCAGTAGATCTGTTAAATAGAGCCCCTGGTCTGAAGTTCCAGGGAGATTGTTGGGTCAGTAGATCTGTTATATAGAGCCCCTGGCCTGAGGTTCCAGGGAGACTGTTGAGTCAGTAGATCTGTTATATAGAGCCCCTGGCCTGAGGTTCAAGGGAGATTGTTGGGTCAGTAGATCTGTTTTATAAAGCTCCTGGCCTGAGGTTCAAGGGAGACTGTTGGGTCAGTAGATCTGCTTTATAGAGCCCCTGTTCTGTAGTTGGAGGGAGACTGTTGGGTCAGTAGATCTGTTATAGAGCCCCTGGCCTGAAGTCCGACAGAGACTGTTGGGTCAGTAGATCTGTTATATAGAGCCCCTGGCCTGAGGTTCAAGGGAGACTGTTGGGTCAGTAGATCTGTTATATAGAGCCCCTGGCCTGAGGTCCGACAGAGACTGTTAAGTCAGTAGATCTGTTAAATAGAGCCCCTGGTCTGAGGTCCGACAGAGACTGTTAAGTCAGTAGATCTGTTAAATAGAGCCCCTGGCCTGAAGTCCGACAGAGACTGTTGGGTCAGTAGATCTGTTATATAGAGCCCCTGGCCTGAGGTTCAAGGGAGACTGTTGGGTCAGTAGATCTGTTATATAGAGCCCCTGGCCTGAGGTCCGACAGAGACTGTTAAGTCAGTAGATCTGTTAAATAGAGCCCCTGGTCTGAGGTCCGACAGAGACTGTTAAGTCAGTAGATCTGTTAAATAGAGCCCCTGGCCTGAGGTCCGACAGAGACTGTTGGGTCAGTAGATCTGTTATATAGAGCCCCTGGCCTGAGGTTCCAGGGAGACTGTTGGGTCAGAAGATCTGTTACATAGAGACCCTGGCCTGAGGTTCAAGGGAGACTGTTGGGTCAGTAGATCTTTTATATAGAGCCCCTGGCCTGAGGTCTGACAGAGACTGTTAGGTCAGTAGATCTGTTATATAGAGCCCCTGGTCTGAGGTTCAAGGGAGACTGTTGGGTCAGTAGATCTGTTATATAGAGCTTCTGGCCTGAGGTTCAAAGGAGACTGTTGGTTCAGTAGATCTGTTTTATAGAGCCCCTGGCCTGAGCTTCCAGGGAGACTGTTGGGTCAGTAGATCTGTTATAAAGAGCCCCTGGCCTGAGGTTCGTGGGAGACTGTTGGGTCAGTGGATCTGTTATATAGAGCCCCTGGCCTGAGGTTCAAGGGAGACTGTTGGGTCATTAGATCTGTTTATAGAGCCCCTGGTCTGTGGTTGACTGCTTAAGGGAGACTGTTGGGTCAGTAGATTTGTTATTATATAGAGCCCCTGGTTTGAGGTTCCAGATACCCTCAGCCTGTTATCTTCAATTAGGGGGACTGCCCAAATATGTACTTTTCCCTTGTTTTTTTCATGGAGTCCTTCTCCAACTCCTACAGATTTTATACCATTGTGTACGTTTGCTATACTGGTCATTTGTCTGATTAAGGTGACAGGGTCTGTACCGTACTAGTCATCGAAGTCACACATAAACACTTTTCATAACTGATTGTGCCATGTCAACCATCCCTCAATCTATTAATTACTTAAAGTTTTAATTTGTGATCAATAAGACCACTAAAATTTTGGTAACAAAATGCTCAGCTAGAACAAAATGTCTAAGCTTCGTACGATCTGAGCTTAGGGTATGATCTTAGCTTAGGGTATGATTTGAGTTTAGGGTATGATCTTAGTTTAGGGTATGATCTGAGCTTAGGGTATGATCTTAGTTTAGGGTATGCTCTGAGCTTAGGGTATGATCTGAGTTCAGGGTATGATTGGAGTTTAGGGTATGATCTGAGCTTAGGTATGAGCTGAGTTTAGGGTATGATCTGAGCTTAGGGTATGAGCTGAGTTTAGGGTATGATCTGAGCTTAGGGTATGATCTGAGTT